GGGATGGATTGGTAATGTCTGCCACAGGCACTGGTGTTGGCACAATGGCTCTGTTAGACTGAGGCTGGCCCAGCACATCATGACCAAGGAAGACCACTTATCTTTTGCTGTTGCACTAGTGCTACCACCGTCACCACCAGCAGCAGCAGCACCAGTGGACCCTCTGACATTGCAGTTCTAGCCAAGAGCAACACGTCTTGACATTTTCCTTAGCATGTAGGCTGGAATGAAAAGTAAAATGCCCAGGCACACGCAGTTACCCCATCCCTATCCCGGGTCTCTTGGAGAGGGTGTGTCGCCTGCTCTGTCTTGAGGAGAGCAGCAGTGGACCACTGTATCTCTCCCGGGCAGGAGTGCCTTCCATTTGGTAACACTGCACCTTAGGAGGACCAGCGCTCTTCATTATGGCCTTTTCATTGAAAAATAATTCAATTAGAGGTGTGTTTTTTGTTTAATTAAACATCCTTGATATCTTTATTGGTATTATTTCAGTAGCCAGCATAATGAGGAGGAACAATTATTTAAATGCTCATTTAAAAGAAAAGGCTGAATGGCAGAAGGAAAATAGCATTTCATTGCAGGAGTCTATTTGTGTGTTGGTTCCCAAGCATCACAATAAAAAATGACGTTTCCTTAGTGTCTACAGGTTTCTACTTCCCTGGAACCTCTAATGCATGAGGCAGGCTGCATTCAGATTCCTCCAGGGTTTTATTATTGCCAGAGTTGTACTGAAAGGCATCCCGGGAACATCCACCAGGATGTATGAAAAAAACCAAAATGTATGAAACCCACCGTAATGTCTGCATTGCCACGTGCTATATATAGGGTGTGCCTACAGGATCTCATTCGGTGCCCCCAGAGCTCTTGGGAGGCAGGTATATAATTCCCATTCTACTGATGAGGAAATCAAGGCTCAGAGAGGTTAAGGGACTTGATTGACTTCACCCTTCTGGGGACGTGAAGGCAGAGGTATGAAGCCATGGGGCCGCTGAGGGCTCTTAGTAACTGAGAGATCTCGAAGAGAGTTTTGCATTTGAGAAGTACATGGAGGGACTCTTTTTAGATCCAGCAGAGCAAAGAGGATTCAGTGTGGGCTTCTGCTAACTGATACTAAAAACACCTGAGAAAGGAAGAAGGAAAGAAGGAAGGAAGCAAGGACAGACGCCGGGCCCTGGGATCTGAGTCGCCAAGCGTGATTTAGCAAGCAAAATGCAGCTGACGTTTCTAGGTCTGTAGGCCATGTTTTGATGTTGCTGAGTAAATTGCTTCTCTAAATAGTCTAGGCCTTGACCCATCAGTTGGCATCTCAGCAGCCACTGTAGCAGTGTGGTGGGAAGTGGATTCTGTCTGGGCACTGGCAAACTTGTTACCAGGCGCGACAGTGCAGCCTCCAGCTCACTCACCTGTGGGCAGGTGGCCCTCTGTTCCAGGAGGGGGTGACGATGGTCCTGGGAAGGGGACTGGGCCAGCCCTCAGTCACTAGCAGCCCACACACCGGGGGTCTTCTGCTGCATTTAAGAAGAAGCCATCTGTGACTGTGTGCCTCATGGTTAAAATATTTAGGGAGTTTTCAAATAGAAAAATGTTCCGAGTGGCTCTTCAAAGATTTTTAGACATTGTTCAGTTCTTAAAAGTGAGCAGTGCATGCTCAGGGCTACTTCTAGGCAAGAGATAACCATGAAGTGATAATGTGGAAGTGAACATTTTATTTAAAAAAAGAAGGTGGGGAGTGTCACAGAGTTGTCTAGGGAGGGCCTTTGAGGGCTGGGAGATTTTAAAAAAGTTGGAAGCTGTCAGATCCTGGGGAGGCCGTCGCCTGCAGTGAATCTTGCCGTTGTGTGGAGGGAAGTCTTCACACCAAAGCCATTCAGGGGTGCCGGTAAAGAGACTTAGTTTGGAACGACAAGTGGCCCCGAAATCCGCCTTGAATAAACACAGCTCTTCCCCACCTCTGGTGAATTACGGACAGGTGACTTCCTCCCTATGCTGCTCCAAGTTAGAGTTTTAGAAGCTTTTTTTTTTTTTTTTTCATAAACAAGAAGTGGAAACATCTGAGCTCTTTAGAACATGCAGCTACACGATTCCTGGCAGCTGCCATTTTGAGTTAAATTTTTTTTTTTTTTAATCGGCCATTTCAGCTGTAGAGCTGTCTTCATTCCCAGCCTGCCTAGGAGTTCTGCATTTTCTTCTATTATCCACATTCCTCACCAGCCACAGAATTTTCTAGAAAATGTATGGCCACTAGATCAAGAAACAGGAAGGGCTTTGGAGCTACCCAAGGAAATGAAGATGAAAAAGAGATTGGGGGAAGGGAGGTGGTCTGACTTAAAAACACGAAGAACCAGAGCAGCTGTGTGCTGTAAATCGATGAATTAGAGTGGCTGAAGCCAAGGTGAAGGGTACAGAAATGCTCTTTAATGTGAAGACCTATGACCTTGTAGGACGTGGTACTTCACTTGTGTTATTAGCTCCTATATCAGAAAGAGATGTTTGTTTATCTTCTTTTTATTACTTATTTATTCTGCCTTGCTCCATAAAAGGATGTGAGGAGAAGTCTAAAATTGGCTTCTGCCCAGCCCTCCTGTGAGGCTGTCTGAGGTGAGGCGTCTGTTCCCCAAGTACGTTAACTAATAAGCTAATGTTCAGAAGGGGAAAGATGGGGACAGCTTGGTGTGGGCGTGGGTTGACAGTGACAATCATGGCTGTCCAGGGCCTTGGGAAGGCCTCCCCGCCCTCTTCAGGTGGGGAAGATTCCTCTCAGGGGCCCCCACCTGGGAAACTGAATTACCAGACATACTGGGAGAGAGAAAAGACCCAGACACCCTGGAGAAAGAAAGTAGCCTTAGAAATTCTGCTTTAACTGTTTTTAAAAGCAAGTTGAGGTTGAATGTCAGAATTCCTTTTTCATTTCTGTCCTTCTCCCTACCTATACTGTCTTCTCCCCGCCCAGCACATAGATACAAAACAGGACAGGAGGAAGGCCAAACTTGGAATAGCGTGTCTTGGTTCCCAGTGGTGGGTGTCCTGGTCTGATTGGTTCAATGGTCCGGGAAATCTCTACCCAGACCCTTGGGCAGCACATTTCTGTGACACTGCACACGTGGGATGTCTTGCGGAGGTCCTGGCCCCTCAGGAGTTGGCAGAGAGGAGCACACTCAAGACAGAAGCCCTCGGACAGAATTCAGGGCACTTGGTCCCTGAGTCACTTGGGTTTTAAAGATGGTTTCCAACTGATGGTTTATGTGCCTATCAACACCGCTAAGTGTGCAGCCCTTCAGAAACATAATTAGGGGGTGGAAAACAAAAACACTGTTTGCCTGGGATTTCAGAAGTCCTTAGATGGATTGGTGGGGAGGCTAAGCTGGGGGGCGGTTTTGTTCACTCCCCACCGGCTGTACTCCCCACATCTCCTTACTGATAATGGGGTATGGTAGTTAATGTGCACGTTTGATTCACTGGGGATTTTGCAGCGACTATACTTTAATATCGCGTTAAAATCTTCCAAGTACAGGAATATTGACAAAAGAGGCTTTGCAAGATCACGGATGTGATGTCTTACTCTGGGTCTGAGATGGGGTTCCTGTTCGCTTTTCCTTCCCTGGCTAGGGAGTCTGATGACAGAAGACAAGGCCTGTGCACACCTGACTCTTTTATGTAAAGCATGAGAGTGGTTCAGGCTGGACAAGCAGCAGGACTCACGCGGAGGTCGAGGAGGGAGGCCGCCAGACGGTTCCGGATATAACATTGAGCCTCCGTGTTGTGACTGCCCCCATGATGGACAAAGACCGTGATACTCTGGCTCAGCACCACCAGTGTCTACAATTTGCTGCTGATGTCATCAGAGCCAGTTTCTAACAAATCTATGTTTGCTGTTGTTCATTCCGACTGCCCTGTCAGATCTCACGATGTTCTTTCATTCCTTAGTATTCTGGCAAAGGACTTGGAAATACTCATTTAGGCCACTGTCCTTCCACTTCTCCCTGGGGGTCTGTGGAGGCTGAATTGTACATTGTGGTTGGGTGTGTGTGTGGAGACACAGGGTGGGGGCAGCTGTCGCACAGTACTGGGTCGTCACAACCTGTTGAATTTCTTCTGTTCCTGCATATCCATGTTTCAGTTGGTGCTTTGTGCACAGACACTAGTGTACAAAACACTCAATTTTCCTATAGCCAAAGCCCAAAACGGTGCAGAGGCACCACAGCTATTTCTCTTAAAGAAAAATAAAAGTTAGACAATACAGTTTGCTTTGTGTTTTTGTAAAACTTCCTTGAATCAAATATTGTCTGAATCAGCCCAAAACGGTGCAGAGGCACCACAGCTATTTCTCTTAAAGAAAAATAAAAGTAAGACAATACAGTTTGCTTTGTGTTTTTGTAAAACTTCCTTGAATCAAATATTGTCTGAATCAATGATTCTCAAGGGGATGGGGAGGGGCAATTTTGCCTCCCCAGGGGACATTTGGCCATGTCTGGAGACGTTTTTGGCTGTTAGGACTGGGGGGGAGGGGGTTGCTACTGGTGTCTCATAGGTGGAGGCCAGGATGCTGCTGAAAATGCTACCAAGTACAGGCCCTCCCCGCCCCCAGTGAAGAATTACTAGGGTATGAATGTCAGTAGTGCCTTGGTTGAGAAATCCCGGTCTAGCTGGTTTCCAGTGCGAAGAGAGCCCGGGAGGGTTTAGATCAGCCCTGGCGAGCTTTTGTCTAGTCCAGCTGTTGTATAATCCCTATGATTTGGGTTCAGTCACTCTCACGAGCACCATCTCATCTGGCCTCTGAGCAAGCGGGGTTAAGAGCACTTGTTCCTTAGCGGACCAAAGAAGGCTACAGAATTGAAGTACCTTGCGGAGTTCCAGTTGGCCAGGGCCGCCTGCACACGGTCTCCCAGCCAGGCCTGCTCGGCAGTGGCCCCCGTGGGCCTCCAGGTCAGTGGCCCCGCGGTGCCCACGCCCCCTGCCGCTTCTCACGCTCTCTCTGCCTTTCTGTCCGTGTGTCTCCCCAGGTAAAGATGAGCCTTCCAGCTACATTTGCACAACATGCAAGCAGCCCTTCAACAGCGCGTGGTTCCTGCTGCAGCACGCGCAGAACACGCACGGCTTCCGCATCTACCTGGAGCCCGGGCCGGCCAGCAGCTCGCTCACGCCGCGGCTCACCATCCCGCCGCCGCTCG